TAAAATTGATTAAATAAAAAAGTCAATTAATTTGAAGTTTTGAATTAATATAGATGACATCTTTTTTTTTTTTTCTAGATGAATAGCCGAAAATCTCCAAGATGATATCTTAGGATCCCAATTATTTTTAGAAGATAATGATTTCCTTATTCAAAAACACAATATATATATATATATATATATATATATATATATATATATATATATATATATATATATATATATATATATATATATATATATATATATACGATTACACTGAAGTGGTTATTTTTACAATTTTGGATTGAGTCATATGATGTACAGTGTTCTTCTTGAGCAATCTTCTTCTCCGATTCTTTTTTTTCCAAGCTCTTACTTTACTCTGTTATCCTTATTCTTCTTCAATTTCTTGCATTTACTATGTTCTTATTATTTGTTATTACTGTGTTCTTGTTAAAAGGTCATAAAAAAATTAATCAATCTACTTTAAGTATATTAGTTTCATTCATTTAGTTACATAAACAAAATTATACTGTGATGCATGGATCCTGGTATGTAATTTAAATCAAATTATTCATTTTTGCAAAGGGAATCGACGAGTTGGAGGCCCCAAACTAGTCGAGTAGGGATGCAATTTGGACACGGGACTTGAACTCTACTCGACGAGTTGAGAGGACTGCCAGAATGAAACCCTTATTTTCAGGGTTTTGCACCTTATTTAAACACCTTAACCTCTAAAGGTAGGCCTCATTTGCGGCCTCCATCACCCCAAACCCTAGCCACGAAACCCTAATCCACTTTGAATGTTTTTAATCCATTGTTGTGTGTTCTTTGTGATTTTGAAGCTTGAAAAGGAAGGAGAAGCTTGGGGATTCAACAGGAAGATAGTAGATCCGGAGTTTGAGCTGCATTTCTGACTCATTTGAGGTATAAACTTGATACCTTGGCTTTATATTACTTAGATCTTCATTTAGGGTAGTATGTCGTCACTTTTGGGCCATATTGAAGTCATTTTCGGGATTTGAGTGTATCATGAAGCTGTGACTTCAGATCTAGGCACTCATGAACTTATGGGGATTAAAGTTGTCAGCTTTATTCAGCCTTGGCCCTTCCCCCATGCCCCAGACCTCTTATATAACTTAGTTTTGGTGTTTCTAGCTTGATGACACCATGCATGAATGTAAAGTTAGCAACTTTACATGGTAACTTAGTCCTAGGGGATCAGATCTATGGTTTGGAAGCATTAAACTCGATTGGAAGCGACTTAATGGATTTAGACCAAGGGGGCTCAACGAGTTGTTCATCCAACTCGGCGAGTTGGGTCGTGGTCCCCCAACCTTTTCTCTCAGTAGGTCTTAACATTTCTCAAAATTCAGCTCCAAGAAGTCATGGATGCACTTTTTGAATAAATCATCTAAACTGAATTTCATTTGTTAGTTGGATGTAGTGACCAAAATTCAAGATTTGTGAAAGTTCATTATTATTTATTAGTGTTAACCTTTAGCAAATTACGATACTAATATTATATTTTTGTTCATAACATGTTTTTTTGTAATAATTTATTTGATCGGAAGATATGTATATGTGATTGGGTGTAGCCTGAAAAATCATATTTTAATTTTTATAAAGAAAAAAAAACTTTGAAATCGACAAATGACAATGTTTGGATTTGATGTTTATGGTTATGAAAATTCACTTTATTTGTAATGTTTATCGACTTTCTTTGCAAAATTTAATGTTGCTGGTACATGTAACAATTTATTGTTGCTTTTGGTTTTACAAGACCAATAGGAAAAGAGCCATATGAGCTTCCATGAAGGTTGGTACACTGAACAAAATCAATTCATAATGCTACTACACAACATGTTTTAATCAAGAAGTCGCATTATGTTGTGATAAAACAAAGATCACATAAATCATTTATGTTAAAAATTAGTATATTAAAAAACCAAATTGCTCTGATATAAATATTAAATAATTTTATCTAATAAGTTTGGTTCAAAAACTCAAAAAATGAATCTAACTAACATTTTTTTTTTAAATTCAACCTAAAACAAAACCACCTATTAATGTGATATGTATTTAATTTATGTTCCCCACGTTTAACGTGGATTATAATCTAATCTACTTCTATATAACCACCTATGTCTCCACCGAGACTTGAACCCTAGACCTCTCATATGAGATGATCACTCCATACCACTAACTATTGAGTGATAGCATGTTTAATATATTATGACAAACTTTTTGAGTATTTTTGAAGATAAAAAAGTTAGGGAACGATAATGTGCAAATTTAATAGGTGTGATTTTGGGACCAAAAAAAAAAATAATAAATAAATAAATAAATAAAATAAACACAAATAATCAATCGGAACATTTTTTCTTACTTTCTCTATCCGCTACTCAAGCAAGCAGCGAGGCAGTGTGGTGTTTGGCAAGCAAGGCTCAATTCTTAACTACTTATAGCCTTAGTGTATCGTCTATCACTAAGGATGGAAATGGGTAGTGTCCCCATCCCCGAGTGTCTAACCTCATCCCCATCTCCATCCTCACCCCTGACGGATGCTGGGAATCAAATCCCTTCCCCTTTTTATTTTGGGCTTTTCCCCAGCCCATCCCCTGTCCATCCCCAACCTATCTCCAGTCTATCAACATAATAAACTAACTTACAAAAAAAATCAAGTTTAATAAGCAATCAAAACCAGATGTCATAATAAGATTCTGTTATATCAATCATAAATTTTAACAAGCATCAAAATGAAAAGTGACGATTTAGTATACAGATTGTCGAAAGAAGTGACCATTGACGAATTCTTGGAATTGGGAACATAATTTGATATACGAGCTCTTTCTCTGACGTCTAGTATAGATCAATTCATTTTAGTGGACTTAATTCAAATATATATATATATATATATATATATATATATATATATATATATATATATATATATATATATATATATATATATATATAAAGTAATCAAAGCGGAGGCGGGACGGGTTGGGGATTGTTATACCCGGCCTCGGTCCCATCCCTAGTTTTAGCATATATAATGAGGATCCCTGGCCTCGTACCCGATACCCGTTTTAGAGGTGAATAACCGTTTCCGATTGGGACGGGTCAACCGGGTTCCCCACCGAGTCGGGTGAAATTTCCATATATGACTGAATCAAAACAAGAACTACAAAGGATAAAAATGCAAAGTGAAATAATTGTCGTGACCCTAAAAAGGAATGCTTCGTATACTCATCGCTTCTCAATAGCTTTCGTTTAATATAGTTCTTTCTTACTATTGAAGAAAAATAATATTATCTTATGCTCAGTGGCATTTTTAATTGCTAACATATTATTTTTTAAAGCATAATTATACTTTTTACATGTATAAATAATTATTTTTACTTCTAAAAACGTATATACTTCTAAAGAAGTACAATGAAATTTGTTTTACTTTTCAATAACATAAAATTAGGTAATTATGTTTCGAAAAAAAGTATTTTAAATCTAAAGACGTAAAAAAATAATTTATTTTCATCTAAAAAACATAAAAATATGTATTTATATTTCTAAAAATATAAAATTAAGTATTTATATTTTTTATAATATACTTAAACTTATATATATATATATATATATATATATATATATATATATATATATATATATATATATATATATATATATATATATAAAGTTTAAGTTCTAAAAACAGAAAAAAAAAACACATATAAAAATAGTATTTTAAAAAATAAGTAAATACAATGTTTAACTAAATACTTTTTATCAAATAAATATTTATTTCTGTATGAATACATATAATATATGAAAAAAAATCCATATACCTCAAACCTAAAAATTACAAATTTAAAGATTTTCTTACCAATCTTATTTTATGGTAACCTGAATATCTATGATAACATATCATAAATCATAAATAAAATAATAAAACAAAACTAAAATAAGTTCCATTTAACACATCTAAAAATTATTTTAAAATAAATAGTATTTCTATAAGGATTTTTTTTAATTACCCCTTTAACAAACATTCATACTGTAAAGTAGAAAGAAAGTTAAAAAAAACTTGCATCAAAATTCCAAATCAGGAGAAATGAGAAACATAAATGGCAAGTGACCCTATATGCATTATGATTCCTTATCTTGAAGCTATGAATACTAAAGTATGATATGTAATATGATTCTTTATCTTGAAATTGTGAATACTAAATCGTGAATCGTAATGTACGTGGGAAAGCCAAAGGGAGAAAGGCGGTTGGTAATTTTGCCTGATTGTGAGAATGGGCTTCAAAGATTTTATAGTCCTAAAGCGGTAAAGCCTCAGATTTTTATTTATGATACATTATCGAGAAAATACCATAAATAGTCAAAAAATGGGGGGTGTTTTCAAAAAATAGATATAAAAATGGATTTTTTCGGATATAGACATGCATTCCGCGGAATCCACTGTAGCTCCGCGGAATGGCAAAACGGTAAATAAATCAACGTATAAAAAAAAACACTAAAGATCCATTCCGCGGAGCTACCTCTGAGGAATGGATCTCTAGTTTGTTTTTTTTTTTTTGTTTTTGTTTTTGTTTTTTTTTTTTTTTTTTCATATCGATTCTTCGGGGTTTATATTTATTTCCCAAACTAATTATTTTTAAGAAAATATTATCATACAATTATAATCTTTACTTGAAAATAATTAGTTGGAAAATTAATATAAACCCTGAAGAATCGATGTGAAAAAAAAAAAAAAAAACCTCACGTTCCATTCCACGGAGCTCCGCGGAGCTACCTCCGCGAAATACATGTCTATAGCTGGAAAAATCCATTTTTATGTCTATTTTTGAAAACACCCCCCATACATTATCTCCGTGAGGTGTGAGCAAGATATACACTAAAAAGTTTTTATTAATAAACTTAAGTTATAGTCTAATGGTCCTCTTGTAAGTGAAAGCTCCTCGGTCAACTTGCAAACATAAACAAAAGTTGTTTCCTTTGACCCAAGGTCGACCATCAATTAAATTTCTCCATTAAATAGTCAAATCCGGCAGCACATTCCCACAAAGAAAATCATTTCGTTTTGATTATTCCTCCTTATATTTTAAGCCTTGAATAACTCTTAACAAAATGCAGAAGTTTCAACTTTTGCATTTGTTCATCTTGATTTCGTTAACAACGAAATTAACAGAAGCTCAGAGTTCCATGAAGACAGGATGCAGTCGTAGATGTGGGAACGTTTGGATTCCATTCCCTTTTGGGATTGGAAGAAACTGTTCTCTGAACAAATGGTACACTGTTGATTGTAACTCCTCGACACCATATCTATCTGCACTCAACCACTTGGAGATACTCCGTGTAGACATGTATCAACAAACGGTCACTGTTAATGGCTCCATGAACATTGATCATTGTAAGAATCCAGTCCAAAATAGCAATCTTGTGTTAAGCGGAAGTCCATATCGATTTTCCAGACTTAATAACATATTTGTTGTTGAGGGATGTGGAAATGGTGTCATCATGCACAACGGGAGTATTGTGTCTGGTTGTTCAACGACTTGTCAAGGTGACACTGTTAGTGACAGGAAGAAGTGCTTTGGCATCGGTTGTTGCCAATCTACAATTCCTTATGATCTCGAGTCGTTTACCCTGAATCTAACAGGCTTAGAAAGGCGAAGTGGAAATCAATCATGTGTCTCTGCGATGGTGGTGGATTCGGAAACATACTCTAGTGGCATATTTTATGGCCAAAATGTTCCGATATCACTTAAGTGGATTAGAGAATTCAATCGTAATTCAACAGGATGCATAAATTGTGAACGTAATGGAGGAGTTTGTGATCCATCTCCTGGCTCGATAGCTGGCATGACTTGTCAATTTTATGGCGACAACCCCACACTAGAGGCTACTAATTTTGGTAAGCTATTGGTCTGCTTTGGACTATTCAATTTTGTTCAATAATTACAAAAAATATTTTGAGTTACTTTTGTAAACTAATTTAATTGGAATTTGTATTATTTAAAACATTAAGATTATTTAAGATTATATGAATAAGACAAAATTGCAAAAAAATCTCCTTGTGTTTAACCGAAAATTCACTTTGGTAAAATATTGGTTTTTTATTGCGGTTTTGTTACAAAATTTTTTGAAAAAACTATTAATGACTATTTTCTGTTCTATTTACTCATTTTCTTTTAATTACACCAATTATATAGACGACATAAATACATCTTAAAAATTGAAATAAAACTTATTTTTAATCGTGTAATTGTATCGTGTCAAATTTGTAACTGATACGTTTTCATGGCATAAATACATGAATTGCGAGATCTAACTAGAATCCTCCACTACCACATGGACCACTAAGGTTTGATTCAAATATTTTGTACGAAAACACATTATTTTTCTAATTTAACCATAATATTCTATTCAAATCTTTCTTTAAGTCCTAAGACACTACCTATATGCTAAATTACACATAGAATGTATCAACTATTTATGATATTTCAAACTATTTTTATTATTATATTGTTTATTACTTTAAAACTAATTTTATATTTATTTTAATTATATTACTTAATTATCTATGAAATTTAAAGATAAACAAGCCCATTTGACAAGTATAACTTAATTATTTTTATTATGATTTCTAGTTGCCTTATTCCCTTTTTTAAACCTATAAATTACATTCATGAATTAAATTTCTACCTATTAAAAAAAAGTTTCATTTGGTTTTGATTGATGTATCCAACCTTTCATTTCTTCCTTCTACCATTTAACAAAATGCAATAGTTTGCAACTTTTGTGTATACTTACCATGATTTTATTCATAATAGCACAAGCTCCATTTTACTTGGATTCGGGATGGTTTGATGCATGTGGGGAGGTCTTGATTCCACCCCCTTTCACGATTGGAAGAAAGTGGTCTAGCAGCGATTGGTATACTATTGATTGCAACTCATCAAAACCATATCTATCTGCACTCAACAATGTAGAGGTGTTGGGTATAAGCTACGAACGTCAAACAGTGACTGTTAATCTCCCTATGATTTCAGATTGCCAGAATCAGGTGCAATATAGCAACCTTGTCCTACGTAGAACTCCCTACAAAATTTCTGGATTAGCTAACATGCTTGTCGTTGAGGGGTGTGGCAATGCAGTCATCATGGAGAATGGGAATATTGTGACCGGTTGTTCAACAACTTGTCACAATGACACTGTTAGTGATATAAACAACTGCTTCGGCATAGGTTGTTGCCGAATTACATTAAGTTCTAATGATCTCAGGTCATTTACCTTGAATCTGACAGGCTTGGAAAGACAGAATGGGAATGGAAAATGTGGATCTGCCTACTTCGTTGATAGGGAATCCTTTGTTGAAGGTAGATTTTCAAGCAAATCTGTATTCGATGGATATGCTTTTGTTCCAATATCACTTTCATGGAGCAACAACTTAGAAGTTGATGCAGAACCAGAATGTAGAGCGTGTATGTATAATGGAGGGGAATGTCACTATGATCCGGGTGTAATCTCTAACATGACTTGTCTTCATCCCGACCGAACAAGTGAAAGCAGACGTAGCAACAATTCACAAGGTGTTATTCTAGGTAAGCTATTGTCTCAAGCCATTTTTAGAAAATTTTATTTGAGGACTATTAATTTTTTAAAATTTTTATGTTATATATATATATATATATATATATATATATATATATATATATATATATATATATATATATATATATATATATATATATATATATATATATATATATATAGGGTTAGGTTCATGTGAGACGGCCTAATTTTATGAGACCGTTGGACGCATTTTTTTATTTTTTTTAGTAAATTCAAGTTCCGAAAATAATATTTAAAAAAAGAATTTTTGGATTTTTCTATTTATTTTGCATTTTAAAATTATTTTTTAGAATATATACAGTGTAACATTCTATTAAAATATTTCACGTATTTTAAAAAAAAAGGATTTTTTTATTATTTTTTATTTTTTTTAGTTAATTCAAGTTCCGAAAATAATATTTAAAAAAAAAGAATTTTTAGATTTTTCCATTTATTTTGCATTTTAAAATTATTTTTTAGAGTATGTACAGTGTAATACTCTATTAAAATATTTCACGTATTTTTCAAAAAAAAAAAAAAACGGGATTTTTTTTTATTTTTTTAAATTTTTTTTAGTTAATTCAAGTTCCCAAATTAATATTTAAAAAAAGAAATTTTAGATTTTTCTATTTATTTTGCATTTTAAAAATATTTTTAGATTTGGTCTCACAAAATTAGAATGGTCTCAAATGAACATGAATATATATATATATATATATATATATATATATATATATATATATATATATATATATATATATATATATATATATATATATATGCACGTAAAGAAAATATTTTATGTTATTATTCTGCTATGAATTTATTATATATTTCTTTTATATCTTTATTAAGCAATAAATTATATCAATATGAATGTCTCTGAGTTAATATCGATAAAACTGTGCAACAAACCTACAAGTGAAATAAAAACCATCAAATTGTTGGTTTTACTTTTCGAAAATGTTTAGTCTTTAAAGATTTGTAATCTCTCAAGAAGCATTTGTTGGAAACTGATAATTATCAACTTCAATATTCGAACAATTTAAGTTTCCTAAGCTAAGTTTATGCATTATATTTACATCCTTTTAGGTGTTAGCATAAGCATGGGGTCACTTTTCCTCATGGTGATCACCTACATATTATCTAAAATAATCAAGAAACGTGAAGCAAAGAGAAGGAAAGAAAGGTATTTTAAACGCAATGGTGGTCTACTTCTTAAACAACAAGCATCTTCTATCAATTTATTTGATAAAACCATACTTTTTACCTGCAATGAATTAGAAAAGGCCACTGACCATTTCAATGAGAATAGAATTCTTGGTCGAGGAGGTCAAGGCACAGTATATAAAGGCATGTTAACTGATGGAAGGATTGTAGCCATCAAGAAATCAAAGGTGGTTAGTGAAAGCCAACTTAAACAGTTTATTAACGAAGTGGTCATTCTTTCACAAGTCAATCATAGAAATGTGGTCAGACTACTTGGTTGTTGCCTAGAAACAGAGGTCCCGCTACTTGTCTCTGAGTTTATCTCAAATGGTACCTTGTATGAATTTATTCAAGATGAAACTAACGAGTTTGCAACTTCTTTAAAGATGAGACTACAAATTGCTAGAGAGGTTGCGGGAGCCCTTTCTTACTTACATTCATCAAGCTCCATTCCAATATACCATAGAGACATTAAGACCACTAATATACTTTTGGATGAAAAGTATAAAGCAAAAATTTCTGACTTTGGAACTTCAAGGTTCGTGTCAATAGATGAAACTCACTTAACTACATTAGTCAAAGGGACATTTGGTTACTTGGATCCGGAGTACTTCCAGTCAAGCCAGTTTACTGAAAAGAGTGATGTTTATAGTTTTGGGGTTGTTTTACTAGAACTCTTGACAAGAGAAAAACCAATTTCCTTAACTAGATTTGGTGATAATAGAAGTTTAGCTACACACTTTGTGGTCGCCATGGAAGAAGGACGTATATTGTCTATTTTGGATGAAATGAATGTTAAAGAGGGTTCAATGAGTGAGTTGTTATCAATAGCAAACCTGGCATTGTGATGCTTGAATTTGAATGGAAAAAATAGGCCAACAATGAAAGAAGTTGTTATCGAGTTAGAAGGCATGAGATTGTCGCATGTTTCCTCTACAGTTCCAAATAATTTTGTACATATGAAGTATGGTGAGCAAGTAAAACAAATATATGTTGGGTCAACATCAACATCATTGACATTCGATGATGACCTTTGTCGATGAATTAGGCTTAGTTCATTTCAATATCAATGTATCCTGATAACTCGGTTGTAGGTCAAAGTCTATTGCATATTATGTATATGTATCTTTATGTTTGTATAATAAGAGTTATTTGGCTTATTTTCTATAGGGTTTTTGTGTAGAGGTTTAGCTTGGTTCATATTAATTTTCTATTTATAGTCTTTAGTTCCCATTCTTTATAATTACATTTTATGACAATAATTAAACCCTATCCATTTTCTTTCTAAATTGTTATTAATTATCATTGTATTAGTGCTCAATTTGATATGTACTACTTGAGTAGATTTAATGATCATGGAGGACTATATAATGGAACTTTTGGTAAACCTATTATAAGATAAATATTCTCAAATTTGTATTTATACAGTCTGGTTTATAAATGAATTTTGTTTTTTTGTAGTTCAACTTTTCTTAATTGACAATATAATCATAAAATCCTAAGGCACTAAAAAACAAAAAAGTGTAACATAGAAAGGCCAGTTTTTATCGATGATCATAATTTCAAATTTTTAAAGAGTTGTCTAATAAACACTAATAGTTAAAACAAGTTTAATAAGATCAAAAAAATATTAAAATAATTTACAAAACAACCATTTTTTTTAATTATTTAGCCAAAATAGTTAAAGATTAAGGTTTTTTAAGAATTAGCCAAAGAAACCATAGTTAAAGATTAAGGTTGTATTACCCATAATCATCTCAAAGTTTGTGCCTATCTAATATCTTTACAGTACAGAGTAAATCTAACATCTCTTCAACTTAACTCAAACTAATCATGCTTTATAAGTCTTATCTTATCACTAGGCAATACTATAATGCTTATGATCAATTTCCAATACCAACATCGTTTAGGAAACACTATCCTAACTAGTGAATACATTTAACATAGAGTATTAGGTATTAATATATATATATATATATATATATATATATATATCCCTATTCTAATAAATAAATAGTTTTAATCGATCTCCTTGTGCTAAGTGTCACTCTAATATAAGTCCTCTATAATATTATGCCATGTGTCATGTACATATATTTGGTAAGTCATTTCAAAATTCAAATTTACATTTTCTAATTATATGTTAAATTTAAAGTTATAATAACTTTAAAAATTTGATATATCTCTTAATTAATAATATTTAAAACAATAGTAATTATAAATTTTAATTATGAAAGTTTAATTAATTATAAACTAGTATATATAGGTTTAGGTTCTATGGAAAACAAAAAACCCTAAAAATAAAAAAATACCTTAAAAAATACTTAGAGATCACAAAACTTATTTTTTATAATTTTTTTATAGAAAAATCGCAGCTTTTTGTATAAAATCGCTGAAAAAAAAATCATTTTTTGTTTTTATAAAAAAAATTGTTTTTTTTTCAAAAATTTTTTAGCGATTTTATAATAAAAGCTGCGATTTTTCATAAAAAAATTCAAAAAAAAGATTTGTGATCTCTAAGTATTTATTTATGCATTTTTATGATTTTTAGAGTTTTTTTTGTTTTCCAAATAACCCTTCCCAATATATATATATATATATATATCTTAACACAAATAGAACCATACTTGTTCGCACATTTTATGTCATCAAATATTCATCTAACATGTATTCCAATCAATAAGTATATAATTCACATATAAACTTTAATTAATACTTGTATTAAAATCATGTTTATGAAAATAGCAATAAACTCACCTGAATACAAATATTGTTTTGCTTTAGTATTCGTTCGTATTTATACTATTTCCTGGATTCCTCAACAATCCCAATGAATACATCGAGATATATCAAATAAGAAATAACCAAGTAAGATCATATCGGAGGTATGGTCCGTTTGATATAACAAAGTATATAGTTTGGAAATCAACCTTTAAACATCCCACTAGATCTAGCCTATACATCACTCTTATAAGTAGATCAATTAGTATTATGACATACGATCACTGATAAATCTTGTTTATTGGTTCATAATAACGATATTGAACTTAAACATAGTTACACTTAAAACATAAGAATTGTAGATTAACATACAAACTTTCTAGCGAATACCAAGTCAAATCCATAGGTGCGTCACACCCTCTAGTGACTTCAATCCTCCGCTTTGCTGCAACGTGTCGCCTTTTCCCTAATCCACGTTGCTCTTCTAGAAGTTAGGTGCGCCGCATAAAATTTTAATTCTTTTTTTAAATCACATCTTTCTAATACAAGCTCCGTTTTTACGTTCTTATTATCCACACGTAGCTATCAACAAGTACTACAACTTTCATTTAGACTCTATTAGTTAATTCTCAATTTATTTTTAAAGTTATATTTTTATAGGCTTATACTGTTAAAGTCCATATAAAAATCACAACTTTTTCATACGACATCCGTTCTCGACTATCTTTTTATTGAAGGATTGGTATTTACAAGATCAAATTTTGTTTACATTGTTTTGGCTAACACTCAACTTGTTTATATTTTGATTTCTGTATCGCACACTACTAAACAAAAACTTTGAAAAAGCATAACTTCCTCGTAGGAAGTCAAATTTAGTTGTTCTTTATATGCACGTTCTCACATTTACAATTACTAAGACATTCGTTTAAATGGCTTAGGCTGAAAAGCAACCTATCTTCGATTCTAATTTATGACGAAAATTGTCGTATAGGGGCAAACGCGAAACTTCGAACAATCATAACTTTTTTATACTAAGTCATATTTGAGCGTTATATATACCCACGAAGTCATCATTATGACTACTACAACTCTCACCGATATTATTTACCATCAATAATCTTTTATCAAAAATATTATTTCTATCGCTTAGTCAAAAATGGTCTTTATAGTCTTTTAATGCGCACAACTAACAATTATCTTATTCGAGGATTAAATTATTCAATAGAATGAATATAATTACACAAATCATCTAGCCCTAAGTTACATGCATTACAATTACCTCCCCTTAGGATGATTACGTCGATGAATCATCAGCAAAACAATGTTACATAATGATTCTGCAAGTTACTTTAGCTGGATTAAGGTGTCTAAGGTCATAACTAAATTTGTATATTCTTCTAATTAAAAGCAAAGTCCTTTTTGGGTTACCCTCATAGCTATAAATGGTATAGAATGATATTTTGAGAAAAAGGAAATAATTTACTAGTTTGTTATATGAATAATAGATTAGTTAAAATTGTAATATTTAATTGAGAATTAATTCCGAATTAATATGATTTATATGTTGCATAATTCCATCAAGACTTGCATCTTGTATTCTAAAAGACGGAGCTTGAGACTAGTGGGAGGAGGTTGGGCATGACTTAGGAGGCGAGGCGGTTAAGTTAATGACTTGGGAGGATTTTGTCATGAGGTTGCGGGATGAGTTTGTGCCTGTGATTGAGTTCCAGCAGTTGGCGAGGGAGTTTCAGGGCCTTCTCCATACGACTAAGACAGTGGCAGAGATCACTTCTATGTTCTGTGAAAGGGTGTTATTAGTTCCGCAATATGTGGCAAACGAGGAGCAGAAGAATGTGAGATATCACGAGATGCTGAGGAGCGATATCAGGAAGTTGGTGAGCCGATCCAGTTGCAAGACACTAGATGATATGATAGTGCGAGCTAGAGATAAGGAGATTGACTTGGAGATGAAGAAGAAGAGGAAGCCGAATCAGGTTCAGAGTTTAGAGGGTTTGGGCAAGAGGCCTAAGGTTTTTGATTCGAGATCTAAAGGCTAGGAGGGTCGGGGCCGCTATGGCAAGTGCGACAAGACGCATGATGGAGCTTACAGGGGAGGTGGTTCATGCTGTTCTAAGTATGGCAAGAATGAAAACTTTAATCGGGATTGCACAACCATTACCCAAAGATCGAGTTTGATTTGGCTCCATTACAATTATATGGGCCATAAAAAGGTCAATTTTCCGAGTCTAGTAGTGGCAGGACCAGTTGCAGCTCCCGCTCTGACGGCTTTGGGGATCACAGATGGCTACCAGGGAAAGGCAGATGCACCTCTTGTGAGGATCAGGGATTTTTAGCTAATAGCCAAGGAGGCTCATGCATCACCTAATGTGGTGAAGGGTATGTATCTTCTCCTTATCTCTCTATTTATGTTGATTTTTCTGCATATATCTATTTTTTTAGTTTTAGGATCGTTCCTTGTGAAAGGTATCTCTGCTTTGGTATTGTTTGATTCAAGGGCTACCCGATCCTTCGTATATCTTGTGATTAACAAGAGGTTTTCCAATGCTCTGGTGGAGGTTGAGATTATTGATGATCATCCTGTATGAGTATCGAGGGTTCATCGAGGTTGTATTTTGCAGTTATTTAGTGAGCGATATTCGATTGATTTGGTTCCTATTCCTTTTTATGGGAGCAAAGTTATTGTACGGATGGACAAGCAGAGACTCAATAGGGCAATGATTGATTGCGAGTAACAGTTGGTGCATATTTGGACCCCAAGTGGGGGAGAGTTGGTGATTTAGGGAGAGGTATCAATGCGGGCAGGTTTTATGTTTAACAACTATGGCTAGGCGTTATCTTCAGTAGGGTTGTTCCGGATTTGTTGCATATGTAATGGATACCCAAGAGAAGGGTAAGGCGATTGTGGATGATGTAACGATTGTTTAGGAATATCCGGATGTGTTACTGGATGACTTACCTGGAGTGCCTCCGGAGAGGCAAGTAGAGTTTCAGATTGACTTGGTTCCTGGTGTGGCTCCGATATCCAAAGCACCTTATCGATTAGCATCTTCTGAGATGCAGGAGTTTTCTACATAGCAGCAGGACTTGTTAGACAAGGGATTTATCC